GCTGAGCACTGAGAGCGCAAGTACTCAACTCCATCCTTACAGTTCTGAAGGTGCCAAGTGGCAAGGACATTGTGGCCCTAGAGGGGAGACCTCCAACCCCTACTCCTTCCACTTCAGCGTGCAGCCCTGGGGGCATCCCAGAACCTCTGCCCTGCCCGCCCTGCCCTGCCCGGCACACACGCAGCACTGGCCCCTCTGCCCTCCCAGGAGTGCTCTCTTGCATTAACACACACCAGAGAGCGGTGCAAGGTTGGTGGGCCAGGAGGTCACAGCACCCTGGGCAAAAGTGTTTTGATGCCCCAAACTCTGTAGCAAATTCAAGTTCTCCGTTATAGATTATACCAGAACATTATTACAGTCTTTCTTACACTTCTGGGCTCCGTTGAAGAGAGCTCTGTCTTTTGGAGTGTCTCCAACTTCGATGATCTTAGCACCAGCCAAAAGCTGCATGATGAGGCCGGAGGTGACGATGGGAGAGATACCCAGCTCCATCAGTGTGCCTTGAGGAGAAGCGGAGCAAAGCACAGCCAACATTAGCTTGCCACAGCAAACATTATTTGGGGGAAAGGAAAACGAATGAGCAAAATTTGACAGGGCACGGCTTAGACAAGTTCCGTGTCATTCAGTGTGCTAGCAGCATTTAACGCAGACAATAACCCCGAGCGTCAGTGAACTGGGTGTCACGCACTTCACTCTGCAGCCTGCCAGGCAGCGTCTTACTCTGCCGAGGAAGTCACATGGCAGCTAACAGATCGCTGCATTTAAATTCACCATAAACAGCTTCGTTCTGGCTTTACAGAGATAAGAAAGGTTTGTCCCTTCATCAGTTAATAAAATATCTGGATAACATTCAAATAATTTCCAGAGTCTGCAAAGGGGGCCTGTACAATTCTATCTAGCTGTGAATAAACGTCTACTTCACATTATGCTAAAATGAGCTCTATTTCCAACTGATTTGGAATTTAATTTGAACTCATTGTAAAAGAGTTAATCAAATGCAGTATCAACAGACTCATTCGCAATCCTCCTCACTGCCCACAGGTGCCTGGTTGGAGCAGACAAAACACGGTTCTACATTTTTTGACAGATACATGGAACCTATAGATATAAAGATGCGGCTGAGAAACAAATTACGCAGTCTACAGAATGTTATCAATGAAAACGGCATCATCCCAGGTATTCATAAAATATTGTTTCCGGCAGGCTGTTTTATTCTCTGCAACGTAGACTTATCTTGTTATTACAGGTTTTGTGTAGCATTCAAACCCAATCCAGACACGACGACGCCTTGGTGCTGAACTCGGCACGTAATGAGGCTATTCAACACGGCACAGGAACGCTCCACGCGATTTTCTGAGCCACGTGTTTTCACACTCTCGGCTCTCTAGGTAAAGCCAAGCCTTGTAACTGAACTAAATGAGACTAGTCACGACCACGCTGCACCAAGAAAGGCAGAGAAAGAGGCCTACCTCTGTTCGAGGCCAGAATCACTCTCATCCAATAGAAAGGGTCGGCAGAATCGGAAGACATGATACCAAACAGGGGAATCTGCAGGCAACGAGAACCAAGTCGGCAAACTGTTCCGGCCACGCAGACTCCCCGCCCCAGCCGGCCGCGCGGGGCCCGGGTTTACCTGGCAGCACACTAGGAAGATGAAGAGGGTGATGGCTGTCCATAGCACCTTCTCCTTGAACTGGATCTAGAGAACAGAATGCATTGCAGCCAGCAGTTAGTTTCACAAGCAGATTCCCACAAACGGACTTTCACCAGGCCCCTGTCTTTGATCACCAAAGACAAACCCGGAACCAAACCTAGGCACCGCGAGTATCACAGGGGCATGGGGCAGAGCGCCGCACGGGCATCACGCCAGCCTCCACGCCACATGGCGCTGACATCTCACAGAGAAAACGAATCCTAGGAAGGTGACTTGCTTCGAATCCCACAGCTGAAGTGAATGCTACACTACCAGTTTAGGCCCAGGAGCAAAGAAATGCCACATCCCAGATGCCAAACCCACAAACCTTTAAACACACGGGCAACCTTTCATTTCAGGTAACAAAATCGTGTTCTGCTGTCAACTGGATGACATTTGGGATTGTTCAAGCGTAGTTTCCAAGACTTACGGGTCACACAATCTAATAAACTATACTGGGAGAGGGCAGGGAGAGTTACACACTTCATGTCCTCACTCACTTCCACTAAGATCTGATCACGAAGTTTCCCATCTTCTCAGCTGTGTCAGCCAGAGAGGCGACCAGAACCACGGTACGCAGGCATCGTGGCACAGCGGAGTAAGCTGCCTGTGCAATGCCCACATCCACTCACACCAGAGTGCCTGGTTTGCGTCCTGGCTACTCCGCTTCTGTTTCAGCTTTCTGCTAATGCACACCCTGGGAGGCAGGACGATGCTCAAGTACGTGGGATCCTGCCTTCGGCCTGGCCCAGACCTCGCTGCTGTGGGAATCTCGCGAGCGAATCCGCCGATGGAAGACTCCTGTGTACTTTCTCCTGCTGTCACTCTGCCTTTCAAATAACTAAGTCTTTAAAAAAATTTTTACCTGACTACTAAGTATTGGAAAAGTGTGAATCCCCACCCCCGGCGCCTCCCTCCGTAGTGGAGTGGGAACTGGAGTCTTTGCCTCTCTGCGACTGCCACTGCCTCCACCCCAAAAACGGCTTCAGAGGGCGCCACCCGAGAGCTGTGCAGCCTGGGCATTGTGAGACGGAAACTGACAGCCTTCAGTGAACAACACTGCAGCGTGAACACGTGAGAGGAGGAGACCTCTACGTGGGCGCCGAGTCAGTGTCCTGGCGCCCTGCGTGGAAGGCGCAGGCCTCTCCGTACCAGTCCACAGCAGGCAGGTCAGGTACGACGCGCATTTCACACCCGGCACTCCACACGGAGCTGGGGGAGGCACAGGACTCCCGTCTCCTCCGTGAGGAAGCTCTTTCCCAGCTGTCGTCCCCACCATACCAGAGAAATCAGAAGTCAGTCAAGGGACCCAACACCATTTTAGACGGACCAGCAGTGAAATCACTCGTTATGGGCCAAAAAAAAAAAAATGGACAGCTTTGTCAAGACTGCAGGATACAACCACATCTCACAACAAAACATGAGTCTCTCCACCCTGTCCGGCCTCTCCGCCTCTTAAGGAGCTGCTAAATCCAGCCAAGCCAAGCCCCAGTGCTCCCCCTCCAAGGGACAGTCCCCACACCACTCTAATCCTGCCCCTCCCTTTTCACTGATCTCCCAGGGCTCCCCACCTACCCTCTACACTGTCACCATGAACTACACCTAACACCTCCCCTCTAAACACACCAGTCTTGCAAACTCTCGGTCAGTCGGTAATTTCTTTTGCCTGCAATTCCTTTCCACTCCCTCCAGGAAACTGTCCTTCTAAGCCACCGTCACACAGCCCCTCTTCCAGAATTAACCCCCTCCTAAGCCACTGGTACCTGCACCTCGCCCATTTCCCTTGTTCCACTTGCACTCAGTAACAAGGCCAAGGTTACATGGTTATAAAGAGGCCATATTAAAGGGTGGGACGGACACCTGCCTGGCTCCTCCACTAATACCATTCCCATCGTGGGGGGGCGAGGGAGTAGGGCCTGGCCAATCAACCCATCACAGGTAATATACATGTAGGCATTTATATAAAACCATTGTAACCGAAAAAGTAGGCTCCAAGAGCCCACTCCATGTGGCTATCAATTACAGATGAACATATGTGAGTGTGTTAGGAACAGTCTGAGAAGAATGTGGGCACAAAATACTATTCATACTCCAACATATGGACCTAATGAAACTTTTCCTCCTTGTGTGACAGCTTTACTTTCATAGGCCCATCTTTCTCTCTCTCTCTCTCCCTCTCGGCTGTAGCTGTGCAGAAATTCGGATAACGACTCATCACGGCTCTACATTTCTTCCTTGAATGTGCCTGCTCCGAGAAGCCCTCCACTCCACAAAATGCCTCTATCCTCGGAACTGTGACCACCTACACAAAAGGCACAGACCCGTGTGTACAGGCTGAAGGGACCGCTTTCTCCTTCCGCAGCCGACACAAAGGGCATTTCCCAGGGGGAAAAAAAACCCAAGCCAGTCCTGCTCCTGCCGGAGGTAGAGAGGGGAGGGCACCGCAAGCCGAGTGTCCTAACTGAGGCCTTATTCATTCACACCCGGATCCATTTTGGGGACAGGGCACACCGGGGGCTTTGTTCACCGAGAATATCCAACAGAGGGGCTGGGAACAAAGCGGGCCGATGTCGGTGGCGCCGGCCCACCCCAGGACACACGGCCACTGTCCCGGGGGAAGCGAAAGGAGTCTCCCCATCCGGCGTGTCGAGGCCATCTTTAATTGTGCCCCAAACTTCCAGCGCCCGGTTGCAAGCAGCCTGCGGTTCGGAAGGCGACTTGGGCACTCACCTTCCTCTCTGGCTTCTGAATTTCCGGCAGGATGACACAGAAGGGCTTGATGACTTCCAGAAATTTGACTTGGATGGGAGAAAAACAAAAGAAGAGGAGTTAGGGCGCAGAGAAACCTCCCGCGCTGTGCAGGGAAGCCGCCTGCCCCGGGACCAGCGGGAGCCGGCGGCGCCACGGGAGCAGGTGCGGCACGCGGACCCCCGACGAGGGCCGAGAGTACCGGCTGCGCTCCGCCGGGGCCCGGACGGGCCTGGGCGAGGGGTCCCGAACACGCGAGGGACGGGATCGGGGGGGGTCCGATCGGTCCCGGGGCTGCCCCTCGGAGGACTCACTCGCCATGGCGGCGGCTGCTCCGGCTCGGCGTCCCGCTTGGGCTCCGCTCCGTTCCGAGTGAGGCGGCGCTGACCGCGGCCCAGCCTGCTCCGGGGCGCAGCGCCTTCGCTGAGAGACACGTCAGTGCTAGTCCCACGGCGAGCGGCGCGGCGCGGGGCGGGGCGGGGCCGGGGGCGGGCCGCGGGCCGCTTCCGCTTCCTGCCACGCTCGCCGGCCGGCCGGCCGCCGCGCCGTCTCCGCCGCGACCACAACTCCCGGCGTGCAGCGGGGCGGCCGCGGCCTGTCGGGAAGAGGCTGCGTAGCGCGGGGCACGCCGGGATGGGAAGTGTGCGGCTGCGCAGAGTAGGCAGCGGTGAGCGCGCTGGGAAGGGCTCGTCACACCTCAGTGGGCTGGGGCGGCGCGGACTCGCGGAGACACGGAGGCAGGCGCCAGGCGCTGAGTGCGTGAAGCGCTCTGCCGGTCGGCGGAGGCCCGGGGGCTCCAGCTCAGTAAAGTTAGCGAGCACCCGGTAGGCGCCTACCGGGGCGCCGGGTACGTGTGGAGAATCATTGTGTGCTGGATGGACGCACGCTGGTGGCACCGACGGAACAGCGCCGTTTGTTGGGTCATTCAGCAAACCCGAGACCTGTGCCGGGCCTTGGCCCCTGCCACCCGAGGACGAAGGGGCTGGGTTCCTAAAGAGACCTTAGGCCAGAGGAGGACCCAGGCAGCTCGGGGAGTCGCGCGGCCTGCTGGAGTCCAGGAAGGCTTCCCGGAGGAGGAGCTGGCCGCTTCTGGCGACGAGGAATTGGGGGGGAGGGTCCTGCGGGTCGGGCCTGGCGCTGGCTGCCCAGAGGCCGTGGGGGAAAGCCCTCTGGGGCCGAAGCGAGGCTGTGTGTAGAGGGACGGGTGGGGGTGGCATGTCTAATTGCAGAGGATGTGATAAGTAATCCGAAAGAGAGAGACGTTTTCTGCCGGGAGCCTTAGGAGGAGGAGAAGCTGGTAGATTTGTAGTGATGGTTACAGGATGAAGGTCCCTAGATTTGTAGTGATGGTTACAGGATGAAGGCCCCATTGATAATGGCCCGGCATCCTGAGAGCCTGGCCGAGGTCGCTCGAGGGGTTGTGGCCAAGTTGCATGTGTTGACAAACTAATTGCTTTAGGAGAATCACTACTTAGGACACTTTCGTGTCTTTAGCAGATTGTAATTCTTTGGAAAGTAGGTGTGCAGTGTTTTTATATTTATGCATTTAGGACTTTTATTATGTAGAAACCTAGAATTAGAGATGATAAAATCTGGGTTAAATTTTTGAACTTTAAATATAATAAATATGAATCTTGTTGACCTGCAGCAACACAATGGAGAAATTATAGTACTCCAAGCCTGAAACTTTGATGGTATGCAAAAATCAAAATAAATAAAATGTTCATTATACAAAATTTATAGCTCTGGAATGAAGAATAATTTGATTTTCTTTTCTTTTTTTTCAAGATTTATCTCTTTACTTGAAGGCAGAATGACATGGAGAGCACACGCACAGAAATTTTCCATTCTGTGGTTCAATCCCCAGAAGGCTGCAACAGCCAGGGCTGGAGCCAGGAGGAAGCTGGGAAATCCATGTGGGTCTCCCAGATGGGTGACAGGAACCCAAGTACATGAGCCGTCTTCTGCTCTCCTCCCAGGTGCGTTGACAGGAAGCTGGGTTGGAAGCAGAGTGGCTGGGACTCAAGGCGGCACTGGCAAGGGATGCTGGCGTCACAAGCGGTGGCCCAGCTTGCTGTGCGGCAGTGCTGACACCACTGTTTTTCAACCAAGAAGTTGACTTGTTAGAAATGTTGGCTGAAACAGTGCTCAGAAGTTCTGTCATTAAGAGACAGGGGGTAGGAGTTGTTCTGCGTGTTAAGCCTCCACTTGAGACACCATGTTCCATATTGGCGTGTCTGGGGCTCAGTCTCGCCTCTACTTCCAGTCCAGCTTCCTGCTCATGCACCTGGGAGACAGCAAATGATGGCCCAAGCAGTTGAGTTCCTGCTGCCCAAACTGAGTTCCTGGCTCCTGGCTCTGGCCTGGCCCAGGCCTGGCAGTTAGAGCATTTAGGGAGTTAGCCAGCAGATGGAGGGTATCTCTCTTTTGCTCTGCCGTTGGAATAAATAAAGGAAGGAAGGACGAAAATGAGAAGGGAAGGGGAGCAGAAGGAAGAAGAGGGTAGGCATCTGGCCTAGCAGCTGAGAGAGAGATCATCCATGGTTGATTCACCCCCAGATGGCTGCAACACCCAGAACTGGGCCGCTGGTTCACCCCCCAGATGGCTGCAACACCCAGAGCTGGGCCGCTGGTTCACTCCCCAGATGGCTGCAACACCCAGAGCTGGGCCGCTGGTTCACTCCCCAGATGGCTGCAACACCCAGAGCTAGGCCAGGCTGAAGCCACGAGTCAGCACTAGGGCCGTCATCCGCTGCTTTCCCGGGTGCATCGTTAGCAGGAAACTGGATCAGAAGCAGAGCAGCCCGGACTCAAGGCAGCACTCAGTAGCTTAACCCACTGTACCACAACACCAGTCTCCCCTCATTTCGTTTTTTAAAACCTTCCCAACTTTCATCTCCGAAATACAAAAATGTTTACCAAAACCCTGGAGCTGAGAATGTAACCAGCTGTCTCGTTCACTGTACTTCGCCTCCAGAAAGAGGACAAAAACATAAACAGTCTGGAGTGTATTTTATCTCTTCCAAATAACTTAAAGGAAATACAGCAGTTGTGAAATGTGGTTTATTTGGAACTACGTGGTTTATTAGTAGGTGTCATCGAAGGACCTTTCCTGAAGTTTGTGCACACAGCTTCTGGTTAGGTGAGGATTTAGCCTAAATCACACATGACTACAAGGCGGGCTGGGGCACTACTTAGAGCCGGGATGTGACTTGTCCGCCAAGGGTTCGTATACAGAGGTGCACACTTCTGTGGCAGGATCAGGAAGGGGTGCAAGTTAACTCATGGGGCATTGCGTTTGGCAGGGATTAATGTAGGTCTTAGTGGGTTGGTTCTCGTGAAAGAATGGTGATAAAACAGTTCTCTTGGGCTGGCGCTGTGGCTCACTAGGCTAATCCTCCACCTTGTGGCGCCGGCACACCAGGTTCTAGTCCCGGTCAGGGTGCCGGATTCTGTCCCGGTTGCCCCTCTTCCAGGCCAGCTCTCTGCTGTGGCCCGGGAGTGCAGTGGAGGATGGCCCAAGTGCTTGGGCCCTGCACCCCATGGGAGACCAGGAGAAGCACCTGGCTTCTGCCATCGGATCAGCGCGGTGCGCCAGCTGCAGCGGCCATTGGAGGGTGAACCAACGGAAAAGGAAGACCTTTCTCTCTGTCTCTCTCTCACTGTCCACTCTACCTGTCAAAAAAATTAAAAACAACAGCAACAACAACAAAAAACAGCTCTCTTGCCCTGGCCTCCCGGCTGGCTACATGACCCTTTCTGCACAGGTTCCTGCTATTCTGAAGCCATCCATCATGACCAGCCGATGTCTCTGCCGTGCTCCTGAATCTCCAGAGCTGTGAATTAGACTTCATGCAGTACCCAGCCTCAGGTGCTTTGTTACAGCCGCAGAAAATGGGCTAGCAGGCAGCTGTGATGGTGTAGGGGTTAAGCTGCTGCTTGGGAGGCCTGCGTCCCAGCTACTCTGCTTTTGATCCAGCTTCCTGCCAGTGTGCATCCTGGGAGGCAGCAGATGATGGCTCAAGTACTTGGCTCTGCCACCCATCTGTGAGACCCAGACGGAGTTCCAGGCTCCTGACTTGAGACTGTTCCAGCCCCAGCTGTTGTGGGCGTTTTGGAAAGTGAACCTGAGCATGGAAGATCTCTCTGTGTTTCTCCCTTTCTCTCTGCCTTTCTAATTAAAAAAGAAAGAAAAAATACATTGAAAATCAAAATGGGCTGACACAGGGACATACTGCTTACGCTGAATTACGTAACGTGTGAGGATGCTTGTACTGCTTGGTCAGTGTGCATGTACGTGCATACCTGGGTAACCACACCGGGCTCAAGACACAGAAGCACCTTCTGTGTCCCAGTAGGCTTCCTTGCGTTGGCTCCTGGTTGTGAGACATCCCCCAGGTAACCTCTACCCTGACCTCTATCACCATTGGCTACTTACTGTACCAATCCTAAGGGGGTCAATGCATTGAAACATTTGGATGGAATCCTTTGCGTCTGGATCGATTCACTGGGCCTTATGTCTGAGATTCACCCATGTTACTGCATATAGCACTACTTAGTTCTTTTTAATCACTCTAGCATTCCACCACTGTTCATCCATTCACTTATTAGTGCAGACTTGTGTTATCTCAGGTTTTTGGCCAGCTTTTAAAAATAAAGCTGCCATAAACATTCTTGTGCACGTCTTCGGGTGGACGTGAAGATGCATCAAAAAGGTCATGGAAGAATGGAATTTAACGTTTATTTTGGTGCATAAAAATTTTGAAATCCATACCTAGTGGTTTTTTTTTTTTTTGATTTATATTTTCCATGAACTTTTTGAACAACCCTTGTATGTTTGTCGTTCTCTTGGGTATTTACCTAGAGGTAGAATTGCTGAGTCGTTATTCCAGATAGTCATGTATTTGACTGAAGTGCATATTATTCTATTAGTATGGAAGAAACGGGGAAGAAATATTGGGGGCTGACCAGGAATCCTGTGATGTCTCCTTGTCCACACTAGGGTCAAGACCCATAGCTTGGCCGGCGCCGTGGCTCATTAGGCTAATCCTCCGTCTGTGGCGCCGGCATACTGGGTTCTAGTCCCGGTCGGGGCACTGGATTCTGTCCCGGTTGCCCCTCTTCCAGTCCAGCTATCTGCTGTGGCCTGGGAGTGCAGTGGAAGATGGCCCAAGTGCTTGGGCCCTGCACCCACATGGGAGACCAGGAGAAGCCCCTGGCTCCTGGCTTTGGATTAGCACGGTGAGACAGCTGCAGCGGCCATTGGAGGGTGAACCAACGGCAAAGGAAGACCTTTCTCTCTGTCTCTCTCTCACTGTCCACTCTGCCTGTCAAAAAAAAAAAAAGACCCATAGCTCTCCACTGATGTGTACTGCACTCCCTCACTCTGCTCTTCCCTCTCCCGGTTGCTCCAGATGCTGTCTCGCCCCTGGGTCTTTCCTCCTCTTCCTCCCTGCCTCCCAACCTTGCCTCACTGACACACATCACACTCATCCTCGGAGCTCAGCACAGTGTTGCCACCTCCTCACAGTCTTGCCCACTCCTCCAAGCTGGGACCAGTTTCATCGTGCTGTCTGCTGCTGTGGCGTGCTGTGCCTTGGCAGGTGCATACAGCACATTTGCTTTTATAATTATCTCACAGCGTCCCAGACTTTATAATGTCAGGACCTCAGAAAGCCAGGCAGGAACTCAACGTCCCCACTCCCTAGATGGCGGGTTCTGCATCTCATTGCGATTTCCAGGCCTCCATGTCTCCTGTCAGTCTCTCTAATGCACTTCCCTCCCTGGTGTACTATCTTTGCACTTCTGTGTTTCAGAGCACATGTCTGGCAAAATCCCGTGATGCTGAACATTACCGGGGAAGTTGGGTCCACTGTAAATTCACCCCAGCTCAGAGGGCCCCTGGCACTGCCCAGAATGTCTACCTGTCTTTACTTGGTCACTTTGCACTGCTGTCTGTAGTGACCATATTTTTCTCTTTATTATATTAAAGCCTAATTTAATTCATTAAAATTTACCTCTTGGGGTAGGCATTTAGCCTGGTGATTAAGTTTCTGGTTAAGACACCTGTGTCTCAGATTGGATGGAGTACCAGGGTTTACCCCCAGGTCTGAGTCAAATAACTTTTTTTTTTTTTTAAGATTTATTTTATTTATTTGAAAGAGTTACAGAGAGAGGTAGAGAGAGAGAGGTCTTCCATCCATTGGTTCACTCCCCAGATGGCTGCAACGGCCAGAGTTGTGCCAATCTGAAGCCAGGAACCAGGAGCTTCTTCTGGGTCTCCCACGTAGGTGCAGGGGCCTGAGGACTTGGGCCATCTTCTACTGCTATCCCAGGCCATAGCAGACTGCTGGATCAGAAGAGGAGCAGCCGAGACTAGAACCAGTGCCCATATGGGATGCCAGAGCCTCAGTCTGGAGCTCTAACCCATTGTGCCACAGCACTGGCTCCAAATTACTTTTATTTAAAGGTAGTTATTCTAATATGGTCACTCCTTGTGGTTTTAAATTTTATTTTTCTAATGATGTTGAACATCTTTTCATGTGCTTATTTTCCCTATTTAAAAAATTGGTTTTGGGGGTTGGCACCAGTGGGTTAAGCCACTGCCTGCAGCCCATACTGGTGCTGTTTGAGTCCCAGCTGCTCTAATTCAATTCAGCTCCCTAGCTCCCTACCAGTGTGTCTCAGAAAGCAGCAGCAGATGGCCTAAATGCTTGGGCCCCTGCCACCCACCTGGAGACCCGGATGAAGCTCCTGGCTCCTGGCTTTGGCCTGGCTCAGCCCTGGCTGTCACAGCCATTTCGGGAGTGAACCAGGAGATGGGAGATCGATCTCTTTCTTTAACTTTGCCTTTCAAGAAAATAAATATTTAAAAAAATAGATTTTTAAAAAGTACTGAGTTTTGAGAGTTTTAAAAATATGTTACAGGGCTGGCACTGTGGTGCAGTAGGTTAATCCTCTGCCTGTGGCGCCGGCTTCCCCTATGGGCGTCGGTTCTAGTCCTGGCTGCTCCTCTTCCACACCAGCTCTCTGCTGTGGCCTAGGAAAGCAGTGGAAGATGGCCCAAGTGCTTGGGCCCCTGCACCCACATGGGAGATGAGAAAGAAGCTCCTGGCTTCGGATCGGAGCAGCTCCGGCCGTTGTGGCCATTTGGGGAGTGAACCAGTGGAGGTAGGACCTTTCTCTCTTTCCCTTTCACTGTCTGTAACCCTCCCTCTCAAGTAAAAAATTAAAACCTTAAAAAAAAGTGTTTCAGATTCGCTGTCAAATATATAATGTGATTGTGTATTTGGAGAGAGGGAGAGAGAGAGAAATTGATAGTTTCTATGTGCTGGTTCAGTCCCCAAATAGCCGCAACAGCGGGATAGCTTGCCCACCACTGTTGAGAAGTCTGAAGCCATTCTGCTTGGTCTGGGAGTGAAGTGAGACTGGAGCTCAGCTTTCATGCTCGCCCTCTGTCCCAGCACTGCCCTCTCTGGCTGGGCCGGCGTGCCCCATCCCGGGTCCCTGGTTCATTCCTCCAGGTGTAAGATTTCCTGCTGATAAATCCTAGGAGCCCCAGTTGAATTCACATTTCAGATAAGCAACTTAATGCTTTCTAGCAAGTGTAAGTGTCCCTTGCACCATATGGGACATACTTAATAATAAATTGTTGCCTAGCTGAAATTCGATTTTAGTTGGACATCTTGGTTTTTTATTTTTAGTTTGCTGAATCTGGCAACTCTATCCAGATGGAGACCTCGTTTCCCTGCTAGGGAGGGTCAGCCACCCAGTGAGAGAGCTGGGGGAGGCATCTATGTTTAACTATTAGAGCGACTTTGATTTTCAACCCAGATTTCTATATAGCAACCAAACTGTCACACAAGCCTGAAAGTAGCACAGAGACATTGCGGTCAGGCAAGAGCTTACAGCCCCACTCCTTTGGATGTTAAGCTCTGCCCACACGTGTGTGCCTCCAATTCCTGACCTTCCTCCTCCCTGCACCCCATCTCTTGTAAACAGTTGACAGAGGGCATCAAAATCACCCCCTGTTCATCTGTTTTCCAACTTTGGAAGTTCCTTGGTCATGTTTCACCTGTTATTGTCTCTTCCCTTTTCTCTTTGGCCTTGTGGTCTTTTACTGTGAATTCTCATTGCTGTCTTTAGGTAGCAGAGAGAATGTTATTTTGGTAATCTTTTGCTTAAAAAAAGATGTACAGAAAAGTGTCCCAATCACGAGTCATAGCAGAGTTTTTCGAAGTGAACACGACCACACAAGCAGCACACAGATGGAGAAAGGAGCTCACCAGCACCCCAGAAGCTCCGATGGGGCTTTCAGGAACTGCCCACCTCTTGAAGGACAGCTACTGCCCTGCTGGTTGGGATTTTTTTTTTAAATATTTATTTATTTGAAAGGGCAGAGTTACAGAGAGAGAGAGAGAGAGAGCGCGAGCGAGCAAGCTTCCATCCACTGGTTCACTCCCCAAATGGCTGCAACAGGTGGAGCTGGGCCAGGCTTAAGACAGGAGCTTCCTCTGGGTCTCCCTCGTGGGTGCAGGGGCCCAGCCATCTTCCACCGCTTTCCCTGGTACATCAGCAGGGACCTGGATCAAAAGTGGAGCAGCTGGGACTCAAACCCACTCCACCACAGCCCTGGCTGCTTCTAGAAAATTTTTTGAACAAGGACCACTGCTTTTTGAGGCCATGGCTGTCTCTTGCAGCTCCTCAGTGCTGCTCCTTCAGCGTGAAACCACCCACAGACAACAGTGAATGAGGGGCATGCAAGCTTGTGTTCTGGTATACCTTTATTTGCAAAGAAAGGCATGGGGAGGATTGGTCTGCACGTGTGCAGTGTTAACTTTCTTATGCACTCCGCCTTGTCCCCTACCTCCAGCTGTGTGTTGCAAAGATTAAAGTTTAGGGAAGTGTGGCTGAGAGGTTGAGGCCTGCCTTCTGCCTACATCCTGTGTGTAGAGCAGAAACTCTAATTCAGGCATGGCACATTGGAATTAGTAAGGTTTCTGCCACCATTGCCCTCGCTTGTTTATAGGGAAGAGGTCCTACCCCAGGAGAGGCAAGCTGGGTAGAGCAGAGGCTCCTGTCTCTAGGCGGGGTGTCATTCTGAGACAAGCGGATGACTGCTCCCACCTCTAGTTTCTGAGAAGCTCTGAGCAAGAGGAAGACTCAAGTTCAGAGAGCTCCAAAGCTCTCCCCAAAAGGAGCTGACTGTATTTTTCATGGAAAGTAGGAAAGTTCAAACCTGAGGGCTCTCTCAAAAGTAGGGCAAATTTTTGTGGTAAGAAATTAAGAGGAGGGGCCGGCACTGTGCACTGTGGCGTAGAAGGTTGGGCATCCGCCTGCAGTGCCGGCACCCCTTTTGAGCATCCATTTGAGTCCCAGCTGCTCCACTTCCGATCCAGCTCCCTGCTTATGGCCTGGGATAGCAGTGGAAGATGGCCCAAGTGCCTGGGCCCCTGCACCTGTGTGTGAAACCCGGAAGCAGCTTCTGGCTCCTGGCTTCAAATCTTTACAGCTCTGGCCAGCCGTTGAGGCCATTTAGGGAGTGAACCAGTGGATGGAAAATCTCTCTTTCTCCCTTTCTTTGTAATATGCCTGTGAACTAAATAAATAAATATGAAAAAAAAAAATTAAGAGGAGGCTGGTAGCTCTGTGAGCACTAAGAGAAGCCACAGACCAGCCAGTGTACTGAAGAGCAGCAGGGAAGGAGATAGGTAGGAAGATCTGTCTTTGCATCATAAGAAAAAGGCTGGACTCGGGCTGCTGCTGTAAAGTGCCCCATGTGTAACTGGATCAGACTGTGGTACGGTATATGTCCCAATGCTTTATGTAAAACAATACAGTGATTAGCAATTAATGGGGGTCAACGTGATACTGATGCAAAGCTACCTGGGAAGGGAGCTGTCAAAGAGAGCCTGGCAGAAGCCATCATCATCTCAGAGTGACTGTGGACGGGTCAGAGGCTGCGGCCCTGAGGAGCAAGGTTAGCGCTTACACACCATGGGGGAAACAGGTGTCACCAAAATCACCCAGCCAAGTACTAAACCGAAAAACAAGTGTGCTGCAACAGAGCTCTTGGAGGGAGGCTGGGAGATCAGTATGCAGAGTCGGTGTATGTACCCCAAGCTTTCTAAAAAAAAAAAAAAAAAAAAAAAAAGCAAGCAAGCTATGAGACGTGGGAAGGAAAAGGAAGGTGGGACCCACACACAGGAAAAATAAAGCAGACAACTGAAGCCA